CCTTTCCCTCCCGTCTGACCTCTTCAGGCCTTTGAATTTGGGAGCCTGGGGTTGAGGGGTCAGAATGCCAAACCCACCCCTAACTCTTATCCCTGAATACTCTTAGCATATTCCAGCAGAAAGAGCACTGGGCCGGGGGTCAGAGGTCTTGGGCCGCTGTTCCCTCTGTGGTCATTTCCCTCTTCCTCATTGCAGAGTGAACACCGGCTATGGTCTTCGTAGCCCCCGCATTTCTGTGTAATGCTGACAGGCAGCAGAGGGAAAGCTGTTCACAAACTGTTGACCACGAGTAAAGGACAGGCAGGTGGTTGTGATGAATGAATAATTGGGATTTGTGAAGGTGGGTGCTGCAGAGACAGAGGCTGTCTGCCTGCACCCCTACATCCCCTGGGCCAAGGCCTCCAGCCTGCCTTCAAATTGGGTACCGGGAAGTGGATGTCGACAAGTGTAGGCACAGCTTCTGATCACATGAACCAAATGTTGCATCAGACCCACTGAGAAACCACCAGCCAGGTGGGCGGGTGGGTGCAGGAGGCTCCCAGAGGCCTTCGCCCACAGAATCCTTGGTCCCCAGGCTCGTGCATATGGGCCAGCCCCGAGGGCCCATCCTGGCAAGGGAGAGCGGCTGGGTGTCCGCCCGTCCATGTCCGTTCCAGCTCTGTCCCCTTTCGCCCTCACACCATTCCGGTTGGACTCCCTCTCTCGGGAACTTCTGCTTTGTCATTTAAAAGAGTTTGGGAACTTCAGATGTAGCTGGGTGTCAGAGCAGTTTATTTGGTCTGTAGGCGTTTTTGTTTTTAAAATTCATGGCATGTTCCTTGCAACATGTTTTATTATATTTTCACCACCTGTTCTACCTTGGGGGTGGTTTTAAAATCTGGGACTATCTATCTATCTGTCCTTTTTTACGTTTCCTTATTTGCCATTTGTATGTGTCTTACAAACACACACACACACACACAATGTGAATTTAAATATGGGGAAGGAATATATTATCCCTCTTCCTTTGTGGCTCGATTGGCTTTAAGCTCCGGTTGTAATGTGGAAGGTGTACGTTTTACCAGGCTAATTATGGAGTTTTAAATGATACATTTGTAAAACAAATAAATACTTGGAAAACCCTTTGCCAGTGTGAAGTGCTATTTCTCCGAACATTGAGAGCAAAAAATATATCACAATATTTAATCCTCTAAGGAAAAAAGCCTTTGAAAGCTTTACAAGTTCTTCCCACTGAAGTGGGAATGGGAAGTAATGTGCCTGTTTTTACAGATGGGAGTTAAATGTCTGTAAGAGTTGCTGGAGGACCAGTGGTGAAGGTTGGGGGGTGGGGGAGTGTCCATCCTCAAACTTACAACATCCATGTAATTATTTGCAGTATTTCTCAATGCCAGTAGGACAAAGGACCAAGATATATTTGTAGCATTATATGCCATTTCCTTTCTCTAAAAATACAAGTACCATACGTTCAGTTTTAATGATGGTCTCATTTGAACCCCTGGATCCCACTGTGCCTGAAGCCTGGACTTTTTAAGTTATGTGAGCCAAGAAATTATCTTTGGGCTTGTTCTACTTGAAACTAAAGAAAAAAAAATCGAAAAACCAAAAAAACAACCTATGCAAATCAGTTAAACTTTGAACATATTATGACATTAAAATGTGAGATGTTTATTATCCCCCCTCCCTTTTTTAATACTAGATGAAAAACAACAACCATATATCTATATGGAATATCCTATTGCTTATAAAACCAGGTCAACAGATATCTAAGACTCAAATGAAATTAAGCTTCTTTTAGGAGAAATAAAAAAAAAGTGGTATACTGTATTTTCCATAATATCATTGGAAAATATTTATTAGGGTCCCTGACATGGTGCCCTTTTGCTGAGATTTTTCCAGAAGGATTTTGTTTGTGGCATTGAGATAGTGACTCTCTCTTTGTTGCCATGGAAACAAAAGCTCCCATGGGCAGTCAGGAGCCCTCCATATCCTCTGTGGGCCCGCTCTTCCTGTTGCACTGGGACGTGATCTGTAGACCCACATGACTGGTCAGACAGGGAACAAGTAGCGCAAAGTGCACAAATTCCATAATTTATGCAAGTGGAATTTGCAGAGTAATGTCCTGGAACTAGTATGAGGCTAGGATCTTGTAATGGATAAGAACATGGACTTTGGTGTCATAGAAACCTAACTTGAGCAAGTTATTTGACTTCTTTAAGCATCAATTTCTTTACCTATAAATGGAATACTATGATTGGTAGTATATGCTCAATAATTGGCAGCTATTCCTATTATTTCCTGAAAGTCTAACCAAATAAATCTGGGATCTACTGCATGCTAAAATCTTATCTTGAGATTCATAATATTTATTAGCATATTAAAGACTTAGAGGAGTCCACCAATAAAGCAGACTGATTGCCTTTATTTATCCAAGTGTTTTCAAACCGAACTAAGGCATAAAATACTTCTCTGCTGTTTTCCTGCAGAACTGGGATCCCATGGAACACACTTCGAGAAACCCCGGGGGTGAGTAACCTATAATAATTGGGGGGGATTCATTAGGCGACCACTAGGGGGTGTGCCAGCCAAGTTTTCTGATTCTCAGTCAGAAAAGAGGGTTTGCTTTGGGCTTCCAAAGAAGAGAGCTTTTGAAGGCTCTGCTGGGGAGGAAGGAGAGACCAAAATGGCAATGGTTTATGGAAACAATGGGAGAGAAGCAGTCATACCATGTGGAAAGATGGCAGAAGTTTCCTGCCCTTCCTTTCTGGTAAGACGTGCAAATGGCTGGCCTTTGGAAAATGGATCAGTAGAGACCCCAGAGCAGACAAAATGGGAGGCGTGACTTGGAGGCCAGGCCAAGGCAGGGGTGAGGACAGTGAAGGTCGCCCCCAGCAGAGCACCCGAGGCCTCCAGGAGGGGGCGTGTCAAAAGACTAACATTTTCCAGAATATTGGATTCTATGTCTAACAGGAAGATTTTTTATATGTAGATATACTCACATATGTAATCCATAGATTACATATATATAATCTTAAAATAGGTTATATATATATAATCTTAAGATTAGACATAGCATATATATTTAATACATATATGTTTTCTGTTAACTATACATTTTCCTTAACCCTGTGCAAAGTATGAGCTTATGTGTAAGTGAATTAGAGTGGTGGATTTGAGTGTGGACGCTGATGATAAAAATGTTCATAGTGGAAAATATGGGAAGCTCTGAAAAGCCATCAGACACCCCTCCCCATAGCAGTTGGAGGTATGTGGGGGGATGTCTACGTAATTGGGTACCTGAGGGAGCACATGTTGGTTAGGATTCTTCTGGTGACAAATGACAGAAATCCAGTCCCCACGGCTTGGGTGACAAAGGAGGCTTTATTAGGAGGATCGTGGACTCTCCAGGCCTTAGGAGCAATGAGACCCGCAGGGACTCACCTGCTGTCAGGACACCCTCCTCCTCTTGTTTCTTCCTCGGTGCGTCGGCCCCTCCAGCCCTGCTCTCTGGGGGTCTGCTGCCGGGGTCTCTGGCCCACAGGGCAGGACACGTGGGCCCACATCTGCAGCTCCTGGGCACCCTGTCCTGTTGTTTCTGCTGCTGGAGGGACCGAGCCCCTCAGTTCCAGATCCAGAATTACTGGGGAAGGAGAGGCTTGTCCTGGCTGGGTCAGATGTCCACCTGGACCAGTCAACCGTGGCCAGGAGCCAGCCATCCTGTGCTCATTGGTTCTCCTGTGCAAGAGTGTGTGTGTGTGTGTGTGTGTGTGTGTGTGCGCGCGCGCGCGCGCGCGCGCATGTGTATGTATGTAAAGTCCCCAGAAAACCTGGAAGTGGGAGGAGAGAAGGAGATACTGGCAGACAAAACATTATCTCGTACCGTGTATATTTTCTATATTTACATCGCTGAGATGAAACCGTATGTAAATAAATCCTGTTTCGAATCAAACATTCTGTCACCCACATTTCCTTAGTCCTCAAAATCTTGGTAAATAGCATGTTAAATTATTGTATGGTATTCAATTATTTGGATTTACTTAGGCAATTTCCAGTTGTCACATATTTAGATTATTTCCATTAAGATTTTTTTTAGGGGCTATTATTAGTAGTGCTACAGTAGAAGGGAATCTCCTGACTTTATGCAAGGATTAGCTACCTCATTGTGAGTAAAAATAAATAGGATTTGGCCCCACTGTTCCCCTCCCCATGTCACGGGTGATGCAAACTGCTCGGATCTCACCTCCTACTGGTCTTCACGTTTCCTTTCTCCTCTTCCCCCAAGTCAAAAGTGGTGGAGGGAGTTGAGGGTTGCGCAGTGTGGAGGTGAGAGGGCAGGAACACAGCTTCGCTGGTCCCTGGGGCCTCAGGTCTGCCTTGTCCCTGCCTGCTATCCTCTGGAAGCAGGTCCAGGTAAAGTGACTCATTTGTGAATAAACCCTTGCACTGGTCACCCAAGAGGTCCACGGTGCCCAAGTCAGGCATCTCAGGAATGAGGCTGCACTCCGATGGGGCTGGGCTGGTCGGTGCAGGAGAATCAGGAAGGCGGGCACGCGGGGCACCTGAGTGAAGGTTGGCTCCTCGGTCTCTGTGGAATTCACAACCACCCTGGTCTGGGGAGCAAACAAGAGTCACCCAACCGTTAACCTGCCACATTCTCCCCTGGGAAGGGCAATCTCAGAATGGTTGTGGTTTTTAACATCCCGTGGTTTTTCCCAAGTTGGAGTTAAACATTTGCTCAGGTTGAACTGTGGCTTTAGAGGCCCTTTGTGGAATAATGAGATGTCCTGGTCCTTGGATGCTTTCTCGTGGAGAGCAGAGGATGCCTGACTGTGGTACCCTTAGCTGGAGAGTTCAGACTATTTGAAGGAGCACCATTGAGATGCCACTAGGGAGGGAGGGAAGCTAAAAGTGATGTCCTACTGTGTTGGGCACTTCTGAGGTTGTCAGTGGGGTTAGCCTGGCCAACCCTCTCGTGCCTATCTGCCTGGCTGTTTAGAGCTGCTCTATTATTTCAGGTGACCGCTGTTTGGGGGGAAGGTTCAGAATGTCCTCTGCCATTGTTTTTCTGCATTTTTAACACTTTCTATTTGTGGAATACTATGATTTTTTTATTAGATATTCTAGTTCCTTCTGTCCTGGGGTGGCTCCAACTGATGTTTTATCACTCCTATTTGTTTTGAATAATAATAAGCACATAATACTACTAAATGCCGTGACTCCAGGAGATGGAACATTTTTCAAGCTAGGGCTGTATTTAATTTTGTTTTGGAAACTGCTGAAATCATTCAGTGCAAGAGGGCCAAGAGACACTACATTTATATTTGGGGGAGCAGAGCCCCCCCCCCCGCCCCCAATCAGAAATGTAGTACTGGTGCTTCGTTTGGGAGAAAGGGAGTCTGATACCTGAACACGAGGCTAACCTCCATAGTGAGGCCAGACCTGTAAGTCTGAGAACAAAACTGGAACGTAAAGGAAAATCCCATTGATTAGGACTTTCTACTATAAGTTAGAATTTAATGACATTGCTCTATACCAGCGGTTCTCAACCTGTGGGTTGTGACCCCTTTGGCGGTCGAATGACCCTTTCACAGGGGTCACCTAAGACCATCCTGCATATCAGATATTTACATTACGATTCATAACAGTAGCAACATTACAGTTATGAAGTAGCAACGAAAATAATTTTATGGTTGGGTCACAACATGAGAGACTATATTTAAAGGGCCAGAAGGTTGAGAACCACTGCTCTATACTTTTATACAACGTAGGGAAGAAGTGTTGGTAAGCAAAGAACAAATAGGGTACTAGGAACCATGTTTACCTGCTAGACCAGTGGTTCTCAACCTTCCTAATGCCGAGACCCTTTAATACAGTTCCTCATGTTGTGGTGACCCCCAATTTCATTGTTACAAATTGAACATAATTAAGAGTAGTGATTACTCACAAAAACAATATGTAATTATATATGTGTTTTCCGATGGTCTTAGGCGACCCCTGTGAAAGGGTTGTTCGACCCCCAAAGGGTGGTGACCCACAGGTTGAGAACCGCTGTGCTAGACAATAACTACATTTACTGCTCCTGTTAGGGAGGGTGGCTCCGCCAGGCTTTCTGTCTGTGAACCCAGAGGTGCTACCTGAGGTTAACTGAGGTGTGCTGTTTCTGACCAATAAAACGTCATTTCCTGCAAGACAACCCCACTGTGACTTTCTCCTAAGTCAGTAGGGAACTCTAGCCAGTAAAACAATCACAGGGTTCTCTGTGTTAGTTGGCTTTGTTCAAGGCATTACAGCAAGTCGCTTAAACGTTTTAGTCTCGGTTTCCTCATTGATAAAGTAGGGATAATAATGGGCCCTCCTCATGGGACTGTTGGGAGGATTAGTTGAGATAATTAATGTAAATTGGTTGAACAGTGCCTGGCATAAAGTGATCAATCAGTGCCATTCATTTACTTACTTAGGTGACTGTAGGCACACAGCGTTGTCTGCTGCCTTGTGTGCATGTTCTGCCTGGACCAGTATAACCATGAGCTGTGTTCTCTGAGCAGGTGGCCATGAGAGTGGGGAAAGTTTGGAGGCATGTTGAAAAAGGAAAGGGGAAACTGACATTTATGGACCCCCAGCCATGTAGCATGTACTGTCCCACCATTATTTTACAAATCAGAAATGAATTCTGAATACTACATGAATGAATGCGCATAAAGTACAGAGTGTTTTGTCTCCTTTAGAGACCAAGGGAAGCGCCTCTTGCCAAGCAGGGGCAGCATGTGCATAAGAGAGCCAGGCTCCATCCAACCCACTCACCTCCCACGTGCACGCACAGACCACCTGCCGTGTGCACTCTGGAGGAAGCGTGTCCTTGTGAATGACTATGTTAGCGTCTGAGGGAACCAAGTGATCCCCGGCCAGGCTCCTCCAGACAAGGTGGCCCATCAGGAAAAGGCCGAGGGGAGACAGACCCATCCCGGGTCCTAGGGGAGAAGTGTGGCCATGGCCGATCCCAGGTTCTCAGCAAAGGTTGGGGGGGAGGGGGTTCCATTCAATGGCCCTATTGTCGTCTAACTTCAGGAAAGTCCCCTGACCTTTTGAGTCTTACCTTCATTCTCTGTAAAATGGGGACAGTAACATCCACCTTGCAGGATTGTTAAAGGGTCAGAAATAATACCTGAAAGTACACTCCATGCACAGAGTAGGTATCAGCTGTTATGGAATGAGTTGTGTCCCTCAGTTGCATTTGCTGGTCCTAACCCCTAGCTCCTCAGAATGGGACCTTCTTTGCAAATAGGGTGGTTACAGATGTAATTAGTGAAGAAGAGGCCATATGGGAGTAGGGTGGGCCCCTAGTCCAATATGAATGACGTCCCTATAAAAAGGTTCCCCTGCATTTGTCAAACCCAGAGACAAATACCAGCCTGGGGAGAATGCCACGTGAGGATGCAGAGAAATCAGGGCTTGGCTTCTACACACCGGGGAACTCCAGAGTCCAAGGGAAGCAAACCACCAGATGCCAGGAGAGAGGCCCGAGCA